TCATAAGGAATCGACTAATCGAAAGTCATCTTAGCGGCCGCCAAAGCTTTCAGCCATCCGTGCTTGAAGCTTCGATTCTCAAACTTCAAGGCTTCATCAGCGTACAACTCCTTAGCCTTCATCTAGCCGGCATCAAAGGCTTTGGCCGCGTCCGCCTCAGCGAGCTCCCTCACCTTCTTCTCAGCTTCAAGATCGGCCTTCAGTTGGGAGACTTCTTCTTGAGCCGACTTTAGAGAGCCATCTATTAAGTTTGCTTTTTCTTTGGCAGCTCTGCGAAGCAAATCAGCGTGTTCAACTTTCTCTTGAGCAGCAACTGCCCTCGCCTGCTTTTCTTTGGCTTTTGTAGTCACTGCAGACAGATCGGCGATTGTTGTGGTGGTCTTGCCCTTCTCTTCCTCTAGCTGGTGCTCAAGAATGGCGAATCGCTCTACGATGTTGTAATGACGACGATCGATCTCTGCGATCCTTCCCGCATTCTGGAAAAATAATGAAATTAGTTTGAATAGGAACCCGTATTTAAGCTATTTAGAGATTTGAGGTGTTTTAACTTACCAAAATGGCCGATTGTACTGCCAAAGTAATTGAGATGACATCTGTTTCAGCATGGAAAGTCACTCGGTCTGAAGGCAAAAAGAGGGCCGAAGCCATACTCAAGGCCACGACGGGATCTTTGATCGCCGACCTACTGGTGAGCACCGGCACATTCTTCATCCTTGGTTGAATGACGAATGCCTAGGCCAAATCATCTTCGACGGCGCGGCGTATCCACCCTTGGCCGTTTCTCGATTGGCGCTTCTACTAAATCGATCACAGTCTCAGTAGGTCACTTCTGCCCTGTGAGATCGGCTCCTTGGACTTCAACCTAATTTTGTTCAGGAATCAACTCGGCCAAAGTTGTTTCGCAGGCTGTTTCTTCTTGACGCACCTCACGAGTCGGCGCTATTTGGCTCCCCTCAAACCCGCTGGCTTACCTTCTGGCCACCATCTTCTTCGTATTTCGTCGCCTGGCAAACTGGGCAAGTGATTCTCCATTTATCTCTTCAGCTTCGGATTTGGCCCTAGGAAGATTTTCTAAGCTGGTAAAGATATCGTCCTCTGGAGCAGATAAGTCTACTCGGCCAGAAGTAGAAGGGAGATCGATGCAATGGTCTGGATCGATATGCTCAAACGCCAAGTCGATTTCTCTATTCAACTCCTGGTCCCTTGCACGGCCCTCCGACTGTGCGTCTTCACTGATCTCCTCGCCGGCATCAGAACCTTTGATGCCAATGTCCCTTAGACTTTTGTAGTTAGGGAAGATAAACGCAGTAAGCTGCCATTCGTGTGTCGGCATAGGGATATTATTTGTGGGCAAAAAAGTGGAGTAAGTTGGGTCGTATCTCAGTAAAATAGGGGCTGCATGCCCTTGTCCTTGGAGGTTTGCACAACCTTTGTAATTGAGGATTGTCTTAACCTGCTCCATAACGGCTTCGTCCGCAGATGACAATGCTCTTTTCAAATCGTTGCTTGTAAGAAACACAAATGATTAGCATAGTATTTAAGCCGAATAAACTATTTATTTTAAGATATGTTAGCAATTCTAGCCGGCCACCTAGTTCACCCTTTTGCCTTGGTATTGGGTCTCGGTGATCTTCTATTTCACTGAATTTCCAATTACCTCGGACGGTGACCATGACGTCATAACCCTTTTGCCAGAGCTGGCGAGCATGGTTACCAAATGATGGTCAATGTCTTTGGCTCTTAAAAAGTAACGGCCTTGCTGATCGGTTGATTTCGCCATGACGTAGCAGTGCCGAATAGCTGGGATTCCTAGGTTAAGACCTAGTCGGCGGTTCAATTTCACTATACCCATGATAATACGGTAAAAGTTCACGTTTGACTGGGAGGGAATTAATTCCCAGTAGCGCATGACTATCTTAAGAAGAGGATGGAGGGGGATGAAGGGGGAATCAAACTCTACCCTCTGCAATTGTCAAAAGAGAAAAGTTAACGGTGCTTGTATCAGCCATCTCCATGTCCACTACATTGTTTGAAACGAGGGATAGGTGAACGTCATTTGGAATTGAAAAGTGACGACGGAAGGCTGCAACTCGATCTTCAGAAAGGAGAACTTTCAAATGCCTCGCCATTTGAGATGAAATGAAAAAATAGCGTGAACAAAAAATAAAAAAACATACAGGGAAACTAGAATAAAGAATAGAATGAGAAGAGATAGGGGACTTACAGGATGAGGAAGGAGACGAACAGTAAGAAGTGGGGTTGTAGAGGTCTGCAAGGAGGTTGATATGAAGGATGCTCAAAGGATGTCAGTAACCTTTCAATTCAAGAGTATACGGGCTTAAAGAATGTCAATAGCCTTTCGATTCAAAAGTATACGGAGGTAGAGATTTCAAAACGCATTAAATGAATGTCAAATGCGAAGGGGTAGGAAGTTGTAATGATTCAAGTAGCACGTCTGCTCTGACGGCTTTGAAGAATCAATATGAAAAGGAGTGCAACCACCGTATCTGTCTTTCAAGGGTTTTTGTTTTGATTGGTCGAGAAACCAAACACGTCGAGTAAACATGTTATTCGGATGTTTGGGGGGCAATTGTGGGGGCTGAATATATATGTGCGCTTGAGAGGTTCAAACAGGATGCCAAGAGTGCTGGTGAGGCTAATTCGGCGTGACCAAACCTATCTGAACAAGAACAAGGCCAAGTAGAATCCATCTCGCGGGCCGAGTATGCCGAAAAGCTCTTGACGTATCTGGGGGACCCAGATATGATGTTGAAAGGTTATGATGGGAATGTGGGCCCTTGGAGAACAATGTAAAAAAGAGGAGTGTCAGCCAAAATGAGGTATGTTAAAAAAAAAAAACGATAACTTGTAAAAGAATAAATATTTGAGAGAGCACTGACTGGCCCGCGGAGTGCTAATTCCGGCATCCCGACCAGAGTGTTCATTCATTTCAGGTAGCAACCAGAGGATCAAGAGCGTCTACCCGAATCAAAGAGTATTTCCAAATCACTTTACCACAATATATATAGAGAGAGGGAGAGAGAGAAAGGGTGTGATATATGGGTGTGAGTGAGGGATCTTAGGCTACAAAAATAAATATTGTGAATCTCTCTTATTACTAAAAGTTGGAGAGGGATGTTAGATTAGTTTTATTTTTTATTTTTTATTTATTATTATTAATAATTTTTATCTTTAAAGTTCAATTAATTAATTAATGTTTAGAAAACTTACCAAAAAAAAAAAAAAGACTTAAGATTTGACTCTTATAACAAAATAAAACCTATGATTTTAATTATATTAATTTAAATTCTAAATTTTAATTTGTTTTCAATCCAAGCCATCTGTTTATTTTCATTAACGTTTCATTTGTTTGGGCGAAAGACGTTTTTCAGAAAATATTTTCCTTGCATTTTTTTTGAACACCATTTTTTTTGTGTTTGTTACAATGGAAAACATTTACTCCTATCATAGTTTATGGAAAATAAGTCTATTTGAACAAAAAATATTTTTAACCTTTAAAAGGTGAAAAATATTTTTTGAAATAAAATTTCACCAATGTCACCACATTACTACTATTACTATCACCATCACCATCACCACCAACACCACCATCCCCACCACTACTGTCGCTGCCACCCTAAACACCTCCACTCTATTACTTTCACCACTAATGTAACTATTAGTACATTAATTTTAAGAACGCAACTAAATATATGAAAAATATATTTTGAAAAAAGTTTTTTTTATAACAAATGTTTTTTCCCCCGAAACAAATATAGCCTAAGTAAAATGATGAAAAAATAACATAGCGTAAGTAAAATAACGAAAAAATAATATTTTAATTATTAAATTAAATAAAAAATAATATTTTTAGCATTATATATTTATTTAATGACTAAAATGATTAAAATATTATTTTTGATCAAATTTATTAAACAAAAATAGACTGATATTTAAATAGAAATCAAATTAAAAATTCAACAGTTATTTTGTTGAAAAATAAAATTCGAAAGGTTTTTTTTTTTTTTTTTTTTTGATTTTGTGTGTTATTTTTATTATTTATTTTGTTTTTTTGGGTGGTTGTGTAGGAATGTACCAAAAAAATTAGATATTTCGTATCAATTCATCGTATAAAATTATATGAAATTAATAAATTGATCAGTCAATTTTATCACTCAACCTATCCAACCTAATTGATTGATCACTGCTGGTTAAAATTTATTAATTCCATATAATTTTGTACGATGAGTTGGTGTGAAATGTCTAATTTTTTGGCACACCCTTACATATGACTACCTTTTAAAAAATAAATAAATAAAATAACACAGCCCAATAAATAAAATAAAATAAAATTTTAAAAATTAATCAGTCAATTTTATCATCCAATCAGTCTAACCCAACTCACTTGCAGAATGTTTAATTTTTTAGCACATCCCTATACATAAATTACCCTTGCCAAAAGAGAAGAAAAAAAAAAAAAACA